CCTGGAGAGACCCAGATTCTGAAAGCCATTTTGAACTTCAAGATCAGCCAGTTTGAATGGGCCAGATCATAATACACATTCCACATTAGTTGTGGTTGAGTTAAATAAAATAAACACATTTAAATGAGAATTATTTTATTTTTCAAAGGTTCACATTCCACATGGTTGTTACCCAGAATGTTTGTTCTTTTTTCTTCTAACACAAAATAGAGGCAAAGCAAGAACTGTATTTAAGTAGCTCCTGATCTTTCTTTACAGCTGGTTGGGTAGAATAAAGCTGGCTACCCATAGGAGACACATCTATCTATCCTATAGGTGGGAAATGAAAATATAACAACAGCTTACACAAAAACAGCCATCCTGGGCAAAAAATGCATTGCTAGCTTTGGTTTGTCCAGGGGAGTTTATTTAATGCTTCTATTATTTCACCCATTGCATGGCCCAGTTTTTAGAAGCCATGAAAAATAAATTTTTGCAATGAAATTCATGGAATGATGGCTTTCTAGTGGGTAAGTGCATTAACTTACATAATGATAGATGGTCTTACATTCATGAATCTATATATTATAACTTCAAACGCTAATAGCATTAAGAACTTTCCCTCCACCAAGCACTGTGCTAAGTGCTTTACATGCAGAATCGACTTCTTTATCATAATAGCCTCTACAAAGTTGGTGCCATCACTGTAACCTCATTTTACTTAAGAGAAAGCTGAGGTTTAGAGATGTCACATAGACAAAAGCCTGGTCTGTTAGACTAAGAAGCTTATATTCTTAACTGCCATATATGAAGCATATTTAGATTATTGTCTATGTCCCAAGAAAAAACAATGTTTGACATTTTCAAGGGTATGGTTGTGTAACTTTCTACATTCTCTTGTTGCCAGAGTAACCTGATGCTTCATTTGTCAATGCATCCCGATTATTCACTCATTCTTTCAGTCAGTATTTAGATACTACCTACACTGAACCAGGTATAGTTCTAGATACTATCAAAGGAAATAATGGAGAAAAAGCCCTCATAAAGTGGGCATAGGTTGGGGAATGGTGGCTAGAGAGAGAAAATAAACATCACGTATAGTAAACAAGGAAATTATTGGAAGGTGATAAATACAATGTAAACAAGAAAAAGTAGAGCAGAGCAAGGAGAATACAAATGGTTCTCTGTATGCTTTAGGTACTGTGCATGTTTTCTGAGGGCGGTTGCATCATTTAACAAGGCATACAGGGTTATCTGAGGAGCTATCTGGAAGTAGGAAAGAGTTACAGGAAAAGCTCCATGGCATGTGCCCCAGTGTTTGAGGAACAGCAGAGAGACTTGGTGGTTGGACCAGAAGGAACAAGAAAAGAGAGGAGTAGAAAAGGGCTGTGTTGCAAGGGGCTATGGAGGCTTCTGTAACCTTTTTGCTTTCCCTTGGTGGGTGGGAGTGGGATGGGAATGAAGACCTGCAGGACTTTGCACTGAAGGATCCCCAAGATCTACCTCTTATGCTGGTTTCCATTGTGACCAATGACAATGGCTTTGCAAAATAGGCTTAAAAGTAAGGACAGTCTTTGGGATTAGAGAACAGAATCAGGCTAATTGTCCCCAAAGACAGAATGTTCCCAGTTCTGATGTGTAAGATTTCTTCTAGTCATTTAAGGCAAGATAGCAGGTATTTACTATTTCCTAATTCTTCTCAAGCTTAAATTACCTAGATCTTTTCTTGTAGTCTTATGCACATCTGAGAGTACAGCTATCTAGAAGAGAGGGCAAATTAAAAAAAAATTAAAGGTATTATTCACAGCTTAATTTTATAGCTAAAGCTGCCTGTATATTTATTTTTAGCCCAGTGCACATCTGAGCAGAATTTCTTGAGCATAAGTGTCTTAGAAGGGAGATCTTTATGAAAGCTTTTTAAAAAATGAGTGGATATATGATTCCTAAGCATCTTGGGCAAAAATATTCTAAAAATGTAATACACCTATGAGATGCCCTTACTAGGAGCTGAGTCTCTCTTTTCCGTACCCTTTTGGGGTCAAAGGACTGCAATATGATTTCTTGTTGCTGTTGTTGAGTGTCCTCTGAGAAATTTGTGCTCAAATTTCATCATAAAACTAGAATATCAGCATATGTGTTAACCTAAATTGTTTGACCTTTAAAAACTTGTTTCCTTATTTGTAAAAGAGAAACAACAACACAATACCCTAGTGTTGGCAGACTCTAAGGTGCCACAGAGACATGAGAAGAGTTGTTGTTTGGATGTTTTACTTTTGTAAATACTAGATGCCATCTGATCCACTTTCTTTTCTTTTTGGTGGTACAAGGAATTGAACCTAGGGTCTTGTGCATGCTAGGCAAGTGCTCTACAACTTGACCTTCATCCCCAGTCTGATTCACTTTCTTGGCCCAGATTTCCTCATACATCAATGTGGCTTTCCTTCTCTGACGACCTCTCACATTTGTCTCTGCTTTCTTCACTTGTACCCAAACTCAAGTTTGGATTTTCTTTCATCTTGGAAATTGCACTGTATTCTGTAGGATCACAAAGAAAGCAGAATGCGGTGTGGGAATACCCAGGCTCAAAGGGAGAAGATGTGGATTTGGAACTTAGTTTTACCATTTTTTACATGTATGACTTGGCCATGCATTTCACATCCTGGAGCCTCAGCTTTCATATTTAAGATGTAGGCAAATATACACAAGTTGGTTCTAAGGAGTAAGTGAGGTAAAGAACCTTGCACAGCTCCTAGCCTATGATGGGAACCTAGTTAAGGTAAATATAATTTTCCTCCCTTTTTATTATAAACAGAATTCCTAAGAGAGTAGACAAGATGGGGGAGACATGGAGGTCACTTAGGAGTAATGAAGAGATGGTAAATTCATCAGAAGAAGGAAATGAGAAGGGAAGATGAAGTGAGTTAGCTCAAAGGAAGAAAGTGGAGAAGAGAAAATGGATGTTTGATGAGGGAGAGGAAGAATCAGCTCATCTCTAGCAGATGAGAGCTCTTCTTCCATAGACAATGAAAAGAATCTGTACATTACTAGTTGAGTACAGCCCAGCCAATCCAGGACTTCTGAAATAGCCCTTTGATCAAGAAGAGTATTCATGTCCTTCTCTTTCAAAGCAATTTTTATAGACACACTCTATTAGAAACACTGATTTGTCCTTGCATACTGTCAGCTTTTATTTATCCTCCTATCTTAAAATACTTTGTCCAAATCTTGGTTGACAAAGAGAATCACAGTTCTGAAGTTGAGTTTCCAGGCCTTCTGTTATAATTAGCAATTCTGATTTGGAATGGGAAGCTCTTGGGCAGGGATCCCTCAGAGTTCTTTTTTTGGAGGAGTGAAGGTCCTCTTCTACACTTTTCAAAGTTACCCTGTCTTTATTTTTTAAGAGTTTTTTTTGTCCCGTGTAAGCTAGGTTAGCTCTAAATTCTTACTTTCTCATTGTATTGGCAAGCTTTTGTTTTTGAAAGAGTTACATTATGAATGTATGATTTCTTAGTTCATAAGTAGTCCAGGGGCCTGTACGACTACTTGAGCTCAACTTTTGGGTTTAGTTGGTTGGAAGGAAACATTTCATTTTAATCATTATCAGTCCTTATGTTAATCATTTCCCATTGCTCTGAGAAAACACCTGAGAGAAACAAGTTAAAGGGGAAAAGATATATTTTGGCCATGGTTTCAAGGTTTCACTTCACTGTCACTTGGTTCTATTGCTTTTAGGACTGTGGTAAAGCAGAATGTTATGGAAATAGGAACGTGATGAAACAAAACACCTCACCTCATGGTGGACAGGAGGGAGATGGAAGGGAAGGGTTCAGGGACAAGATGGATCCTTCAAAGGCAAGCCCACAGTGACCTACTTCCTCTATGTGAGCCCCACTTCCTAACAGCTATGAACCCATCAATGTGTTAATCCGTTTATGCAGTTAGTGTCCTCGTGATCTAAGCACTTCTCAATAGCACCACCAGCTGGGAACCAAGCCTTTAACACATGAGCTATTTTGGGTCACACTTCATAACAGATCTTGATTTTCATTTTTATTACATCAATTTCTTTGGTGTCCCAGGTTAGCTTCATAATCACAGAAGTTATTTATTATTAAGAATCTGAAAATAATAACATTATATGCATGATAACCGGAGAACAATGCTCAGAAGCTAGTCATTTAAGTGGGTATATCAATATAAGTTTGCCAAGTAACAGAAAATCCATACATTTATTTTTCCTGTACAAGAGAGAAAAAGTCATCACAATCCTCTTTCCACTTTTCCATTGATCTTAAACTTTACCTTTGTAGAAAGGGCCTTCGTTATGTACTCCATGCCAGATGACTTTCACTCTTTAAAATTTAACAATATTTGCTAACTTAAATATTAAGCAACAAATGATATAAAAAGGGTGTATTTATATTGCCCTAAATCCCCATGAGATTTATTTCCAGTCTGATAGACAAGACATTCTTTGGGTGGGATGATTCCCTAGGGAAGCAAAGGTATGGGCACGTTTCACATCTGTTTATTGTCCAAAGCCATTTTCAAGCAAAAACGAGTTCATGTTCGAACAACACAGATTCTCACTCTACTCACCTAGATCAGGCTGTATGCCTTAATGGGGGAGGCGGAAAAATCTAGAGTGTCACAGTGACAGTGTGTGCCCCTCACCAAGGGGAGATAGGATGCAGGGAGAAGCAGTTTACCTAGTAGGATCACGATGCACAGAAGGATGGCCACCAGAGCCCCTGTGCTCAATCCTGTGGGGTGGATGAGGGCCTCTGCATGGCAGGACTGCATGTTCCCATGGTGGTCACATGTACAGACCCGGACAGTCACTGTCCCAGTGCTGCTTTGGACTGGGTAGTCGTTGTCTGAAATGACCACAGGCAGAAGATAGGTGCTCATCTCGTGTCTATTATAGCCATTTTTCCGGGTTAAGATTCCCGCTGTGTTGTCTGGAACCAGAAAGCAAAGTGGTGAATGTGTGTGGATACCACATCACATATTGGATCAATTGTTAAGGGAACAGGATACAGGCACAGAAATACATACAGATTCTGATCTAGGTCTGTATATATCTTAAACTAATTTACCTTTGTTGTCTTGAATGGTAAAGTTTGAGCCACTGGCTGCTTCAGGGGCCAAAGAGAAGGAGAATTGGTGTCCACTATGAGGGTCATCCTTATCCATAGCATGTAGGGTCTGAATCAACTGAAATAAAAGCCATAAAGCTGCTATAAAATTTTGATAACCCGAAAATACGTCATATAGTTTTGCAGTAAATTCTTGATTTTTAATATTAACTAAAAGTCATAGCTTTAAAAAAGCTTTCTATTAGAAAGTTTCTGTTATAGAATGATTCCATTCTATTCAAAGAGCTAGTAGGTTAGAAAGCCCTAACAATTCTTTGCTATGGTAAGGGACAATTCTTTGTTGTGGTAGCTTCTCTGGGTACTGTAAGTTGTTTATCAGTAACCCTGGCCTCTACCCTCTAGATACCAGCAGCACTCTCCTAAATTGTGACAATCAGAAATGTCTGCAGACATTGTGATCTGACACCAGGAAACAAAGTCCCTGGGAATGAGAGACAGTCCCAGAGTAATGCAAAACTATGAAATCCCACCAGGATCTCGGCTTGGACAACACTGCAACTTAACAAAAAGAAGTCAATCTTGTTGTGTAAGTAGGCTACCAATTTGCAAAAAAACTACAAAGAAAACTGGTGTATAAAACACGGTAAGTTCAGCTTCCCACTTTCCCCATGTGCTCTAATAGTGTGCTTCTATTTTGACAAACTAGAGCATCATTTTTATATCACTGGCAGCCAAGACCTATTTCAGGTGGTGACAAATGGGAAAAAAGTAAAACATTCATGAATTTCTATTACTTGTACATGTGGCGATGTAATAAGTAAAACTATGAATTATAGGCAATTGTAAAATATGTTCTAGTCATTATTTTGGAGTACATACGGCAATTAAGCTATCTGTTCACCATAAAGATTTTTCCTATAGCACTGTGACTAATCTATTTTAATGAAAACTTAAGACTGATTTGGAATTAATATTAGTCTTGGAGACTGATAACTTCCAGTCTTAAAAACTATTTGCTCTCTTATGCAAGTTAAACATTTGTCTTGATTCTTATTTATGGTATTAATCTCCTTAGTTTCACTTCATAGATAATTCAAAACTAGCCTTCAGCTTTATGTGTCATCTGAATTATTAGATCTAAATTAAGCTGACTTTCAACTTGAACGTACTTTCTTATAAGACTTACCTGATCTGCCTTTGCTTTTTCACAGACAAATGTCTCATAGAACTGAGCAAATTCCGGGGCGTTGTCGTTGACGTCCAGAACTTTAATGTAAAGAGGCACTCTGCTGCTTTGCTTTGGATTATCTGCCACACACCAAAAAGAAAGAAACAGGTATTTACATGTTGGTTGCCAGTTCCATCCAGACAAAATCCACTCAGGTTCATTCATTCTCATTCGTGCACAGGCTCCCCAAGGGCACACTGATTACCAATGGGGTCACAAGAAAGAAGTAGACAGTTTGGTACTTCTGGAGCTGGATGCATTGACAGAAATACCTACTTGTGTTGATATACTATACCTGCCTCGTAAACCCTAAGGTAACACAAAATAAAGCATTTTAGAAGTAGATTTTCAAGGAAGCCAATAAAGCAGGCAAATAGGGAAAACCATGGACAAAAAGAAGAGAAATGAATGAAACCACCAGGAGACCAAAGAATTGCTATTGGTCTTCGTGTTTTGAGTTGAGGGCTGAACGAGAGCTGGACATCATGTTAAGAATGTTGCTATAGTAGCTTATTAAATTCCTCCAAACTCTGAGGTAGATACAGTTATTGCTCCATGTTATACAACAGGAAACTGAGTCACAAAGAAGTTGAATGATTTATCTGGGTTCACAGAGGTAGTAAGGAGTTAGTGCTGGCATATTTAGGGTATTGGGATGTGTAAGGAGCATAATAAAGATCTTGCTTCTTGAGATTTTTTTTCTAATATGGGAATAGACAAAACTGTACAGTAAGCCTGCCTTAGTTGCAATTTATTACATATGGTTTTGACCAAGACAAGTAAAAAAATTAAATAAAATAGGAAACTTCAAAGACAAAAATTTTAAATTTCCACATATGCCTCAAGAAGCTCAGCTGATGTGGAGCACTTCTCAGTCAGTCCTGTGTTATTGTCAGTTGCGTTTAAATTGTGTGATCTGCTGAGTGTTTCCTTGCCCTTAATTTTGTGAATATATGCCTCCCCCAAAGCAAATGGTGCCCCAAAAGCAAAGTATAATTATGGCAATCTTTCCAAGACAAAAAGGGAATGCAACATACTTAATTTAAGTGATACTGTGAAAATTTTAGATTTGTTGAATGGTGGCATGTTTTTAGCAAAAGTTGGGCAGCTTTGTGAGAAAAATGAAGTACAGTACTGGACTCTATGCATCCTGAGCATTTGTGGCTTCTTCCTCAACAGTGGTCCTTAGAGTTCACATATCTGTGGATAGCAAGGGTCTACTGAATGCACATAAATATATACTCCAACAAATGGTAAATTTATGGAGAAATTGAGCAGAGAAAAAGGATCAAGACAGATGGAGGTGCTACTTTGAATAAGATGACCAGCCATGACTTCTCTGAGACCATTTGTCCAGAAATATGATAGAAGAGAAAGACTAAGCCATTGGAGATTTCTGGCTTTCTATGAAGAGGAAACAGTAAGTGTAAAAGCTTTGGAGTAGGACTAAGCTGGCTTTATACAAGGTTTTGGGTTCTTCTGAATTATCAAAAGTAGTTAACAAGTTTCAACAATAAGATTCTTAAGACCCCTTGCATCTATTTTACTCACACTATCCTTCCAAGTAGAGTGGCTGAATATGAATTTCACAGATCTTAATCACTAATAATTTCAAATGTGACATAGAAACATGAAATCCTAAAACCAGAATCTTTTAGTTATAAAACTTAAATACTTATGAATGACCACTTCAGTAAAAAGTTAAAATTTCATTATGCTTTGAAAAATGGTTCTTTTTCAGTGGGAAAATATTTTTGTAATTTAAAAAACATCATTAGTGCTCTGTTATTGGTTACCCACATCGGTCCCTCAGCAGAAATTCTGAAAGCAAACTCCTACCTAACAAATGTTCTCATGAGGTGTTGGAAAAGTGGTGCTTATTTTGTCCACATTGGCTTTTATTATTCTACCCAATATCCTTCAGCAACTTCAACTCTTCATGAGTTATGTTGACAAAAATACAACTGTAATAAACCATTTGATATGGACTATTTCACACTATATAATCAACTGAGATAAAATGTTTAGAACTTTCAAAATTAAAACAAAAAACTAAAGAGCTATAATTTTAGAACCTATTTTAAACACCAAAATTATTTTACAGATCAGTTTTCTTTTATTGTATTTTACCCCAAACTTTGTGGGTATATTCCCACTAATGTTTGTTGCTTAAAATCTTTTCTTTGGAACACTCTTTGGGCACTGTTTTTTCTTTGCCTTTAATTTCATGGGGGGTACCATAAAATTCATTCTAAACATTTTATTGATTACTTGGTGGTTTGTATTACTCGCTTTGATTTACTATGGAAAAGTGATAATTTGTGTTTCTTAATTCTATAAAGATTTTGAAACAGAAATTCTTATAGAAAGCTAGGAAGAATATCCAGCAGATTTCGAAACAATACCTATAGTCTAAAGACATGTTTGGCCCCGTTTCCTTTGCTCCCTACACCAATGTCTGAGAGCCCATTTTTTTGGCTGTTTCAGTAATTTCTAATTTGTAATTTTTTCGAATCAATCAAGTTACCAATTCATGCTCATTTGAGAGAAACATTCTTCTTTTCTTATTTCCAAACTGCAGAACTTCCACAATTTCCTTCCATTTATGAATGAACCAACACACATTTAGAGGAAAAACATTTCTCAATCATCCAGGGCTCTTTCCCTCAATACAGTATCGAGCAGAATCATCAGTACTAGTGATGAGTTTCAGCCATTGCTCAAGCCCCAGGCAAGAGAGCCATTCAATCGGGACAGCAGAACTAGGTTGACTTACTGATCTCGGTCGCTATCACTGTAATGTTGTGCCATAGCAGTGTTTCTCGGTCAAGAACTTTCGAAGTAAAAATCGAACCATTTCCAGAATCAATGTTGAATATTCTGTTCCATGTCTGTGTGTCGATCTACAGTACCTGAAAAATACAGAACAGAATTTAGTATTCTCATATTATAAATGATTCCCGACATATGTTACATTAAAATTTTTCTACTCATAGTGCATTTAAATATCTATAAATTAACATTAAGCAAAATAGTCTGAGGAAATTAATTCTTTTAATTGAGGTTTAATAATAAACTCACTAGCCAAGTTAAATAATTTTGAGAATCACTACTAGCTTTTTTATATGTAATTTAGATCAATTTATATAGTAATTATTATACTTTTTAAACTCAAGTTTTTTAGGAGAAGGACTGCAGAAGGATGACCTGGCCATGATAAGGAATTGGGATTCATTCTCAATGCCATGCAAATCTGCCAAAGGGATCCCAGCAGGGCAGTGCTGCAATCTAAATCATGTTGAACAAAGATTGTTGATTGAATGAAAATGGTTTGAAAGGTGCTGTCACAAGCTAATGGAAGAAGAGTGGAAAACAGGACTTAGGAAAAAAAAATGCTAAGAGAATTACAAAGGGGAAACAGATACCCAGAAGGTTAGACAATCTTAGAAACATGGTAAGAACTAGATTAATATTTAAAGAGAGTTTTATATGATGGAGAAAAGGACAGCCCCTAACAAATGTTGCTGGGAAAAGTGGTTATCCATCTGCAAGAAACTGAACTAGATCCATGTCTATCACCCTGTACTAGTATCAAACTCAAAATGGATCAAAGGCCTTAATATCAGACCTAAACTCTGAAGTTAGTGCAGGAAGGAGCAGAAACACTCTGGAAGTAATAGGTATAGGAAAGGACTTCCTCATAGAACCCCAACAGCCCAGCAACTAAGAGAAAGGATGGGACAAATGGGACTTCATAAAATTAAAAGTTTCTGACAACAAAAGAAATGGTCTCTAAACTGAGAGAACACCACAGAGTGGGAGAAAATATTTTCAGCTATACATCAAACAAAGGACTGATAACCGGAATATACATGGAACTTAAGAAACTAAAACTCTCCTAAAATCAATGAACCAATTAAGAAATGGGCAACTGAACTAAACAGAACTTTCTCAAAAGGAAATTCAAATGGCCAAAAAACACAGGAAAAAATGCTCACCATCTCTAGCCATAAAGGAAATGCAAATTAAACCACACTAAGATTCACCTCACCCCATTTAGAATAGCCAGCATCAAAAACACCACCACCAACATGTGTTGGCAAGGATGTGGGGAAAAAAGAAACCCTGGTCCATGCTGGTGGGAATGCAAGTTGGTACAACCACTCTGGAAAAAAAATTTGGAGGCTTCTTAAAAATCTAAACATAGATCTGCCATATGATCCAGCAATCCCACTCCTGGGGGATATACCCAAAGGAATGTGACACAGGTTACTGCAGAGGCACCTGCACACCCATGTTTATTGCAGTGCTATTCACAATAGCCAAGCTATGGAAACAAACCAAGATGCCCCATTACTGATGAATGGATCAAGAAAATGTGGTGTTTATACACAATGGAAATTTACTTCAGCCACGAAGAAGAATGAAATCTTATCATTTGCAAGTAAAGATGGAAGTGGAGAACATCATTCTGAGCGAGGTTAGCCAGGCTCAGAAGACTAAAAATCATGTTCTCCCTCATATGCGGACTTGAGATCTAGGGCAATATAGCAATGTGTTGGACTTGGATCACATGATAAGGGGAGAGCACATAAGGGAGATATGGGAATAGTAGAAAACCCCAAACATGAAGTGTTTGATTTCCCCACTCCAGAGGAGCTAATACAGAAACTCAAATTACAGAGGTTCAACATGAGAAGGGGATCAGGAACCAGTGTAAAGATAAGTTAGATGAATCAACTTGGGTTGTAACACATTTATACATGAAAGCAATGCTAGGAATCTCTCTGTATAGCTGTCCTTATTCTCAATAGCAAAACGTATTGTCTTCCTTATTATGCTTATGTCTTCTCTTCAACAAAATTAGAAATAATTTTGTTATTCTGCCTGGACGCGAGGTGGGGAGGAGGGGAGAGGGTGGGGAAGCGGGCATGGGGGAGATATGACCCAAATAATGTATGCACATGTGAACAAATGAATTTAAAAAAACTGAAAAAAAGAGAGTTTGTAGAAATTGAAATACCAAGAATAGTGTCTTAAGAAATCAAAGGACAGAATCTTCAATACTAAAATTGAACAATTCAGTAGATTTGAGAAATGTTCTCTTTTTATGAATTTTTAGTAATTTTTATTTATTTGTTTTATCTACTATCACTAGTTTTTAGAATAGTCATGTAGGGGGAAAAGTTTTCATGTATGTTTATGAGGAGGAAGCACTAAAGGAAAATTTTCAAGAAAGTTGCTATGTTAAGCCTTCAGGGAAAAAATATTGCCTATTTCAACTGGACTTTTCAAAAACTTATGATAAGAGGTTTAAAAAGCTTTTGGCTTAATAGAAATACAATTAAGTAAATGATCTCATTAGTCAGACACAAAATTGCTATGAAGTTCTAAGAAAATTGTTACTAATTTGTAATTTGTCCAAAGATTCTATATCAAGGAATTATTCTGTTTAATATGTAAGTGGTGAGCTATAATAAGCAATATACTTTTAATTTTTGTCATCTAGCAGGTATAAATGAAAAACATCTAATCATTATAGGCTGTTTAAACTGATTTCAAAGAAAATTCATGAATTTATTATTTTATGTATACATAATTTTTGGTTTGAATTTCAGTTTTGGTATATTTAAAGTAATATTTTTATTTCCAAAGGGTTGAAACATGAAAAATCTATTTACTATTTTGCTGCTTCTGTTCTGAATCAGCATGTATTAAGAATTTAGGCCACATGACATTTACTTACTCTATCACCTTTCTTCATTTTTAATTTGAGAATGATAAATATTTATAGCATACAGTTAATTGCAAAAAAGGAATCTCAATATTCATAGACTTTGTGAGAAATTTAATAATTATCTATAAACAGTTTTTTCCCTCATGAAAAATGTCAGCTAAGAAGTGCTGCTTAGTGCCTTCCTAAGCTGTTACAGTTAAATGCAGCAGTAATCTGTTTTGTTCTTTGTCCCTTTGCCTCCTGCTATAGTTTTAAGTTTTACAAGTAATCATATTTTCCCATCAAGCCTTGAATAAAGGTAAACAGTGAGGAAGTCTTAGTTGAAGGCAGCTTTAAATTTTAAAGAGAGATTAACTATTTAGGAAATAACAAAATTTATATTGTTTTTCCCTAATTGGGAGATTAAAAATTAATAGCAACCTAAAAATGCCTACATTGTTCAGGAATGGTGCTTGCACATAAAGCCTTATTTTCTTTTTGTTGTTTTTTCCAAACGAAATTCAATTGCATGAAGGATATTTACTACTATGCACAGTTTTAATTATAATCAGCACCAACAGGGAACAAGTTGACAATCCCATCAGGATGGTAGCA